GGTGGGACCTGGCTGAGCCTCAGCCCTGCTGCGTGCTGGTGGGACCTGGCTGAGCCTGAGTCCTGCTGTGTGCAGGTGGGACCTGGCTGAGCCTGAGTCCTGCTGTGTGCCGGTGGGACCTGGCTGATCCTCAGCCCTGCTGTGTGTGTGCATGAGCTGGTTGGAGCCACAGGGAACTGGGTAGGGTGAAGGAGGGGGGGTGGGTCAGGGGTGTGGTGTGCACACTTACTTCCCCATACCGGGATGTTCCTGCTCTCTGCCTTCATCACAATGGACGACATGGTCATGGTCACAGGAATGGCATCGAAATATGAGGAGTGTGGCGCCAGGGTCAGGATGGTCGCCTCAGTGGGCAGGGCCTGCCGCCCCTTCACGGCCACCCAGTGGAAGCCTCCGGCAAACCACATGGTCCGCATGATAGCCTTGAGCAGAAAGTCCACGACCCTGTAAGAGAAAGTAGTACTGTGAGTCCCTGGGGCCAACACTGGGACTCACGCCACCCCGTGTCCCCTCTGTGGGTGGTCAATGTGAATCCTGAAGACATTGGCCTGAGGAGCCCAGTTTGGGGATCTGTACAAAATGACCAAGCAGCAGGAAGGTCCAGACCAACCAGCATCAGCAAAAGCTGTTTACCGAAATGTCCACTTTGGGAGGAAAAGCGCTAATGACCACGCATGCTTTCTTCTGACTCTCTAAGCTAATGTCTTCTTCTTTCATTCATAGATTGTGATTGCTCACTGGACTGGTCTCTGTATGTGGCCCGAGAGCATTCATACAACACTGGGTGTTGGAAGAACAACAGGCGATAGAGGCTAAAGTGACCAAGTACATGGTTTTATACTAAGATCTGCCAGGTCTCATATCCTGGTCTCATATCCCATGGGACGTCCAAAGTTCCTGGAGCCAGGCATCATGCTAGTAAAACAAGCCCTTTCTGGACGAAATGAGAAGACAATATGTTTGGAAAATCAAGTACAGAGCCAGCTTAGATAACTTGGGTCAGTTCCCTATTAGCTTCTTTCTAAAACATGATAATTTAAGTGTCTCAGTCTGTGCGTGCCCATTCATGGGAATCTCTGAAAAGCTACAAATCAGACCATCATTCAGCACGCCATCGGAGCAACCACAAGATGTACAAATCCCAGTTCCCAGAGGGAAGAGTTCATCTTTATAAAGAGTCAAATCTCACTAAGTGGTTGATCAGATTGCACAAAACCGCTGCATAGCAGAATAAGAGACTAGAAAGTTAACCAGAGTGATTTTTCTCAAGTGGCTGAAAAACACTCTCTCAAGAGAGTGGGGAGTCCTAACACGGTCCCTTTTGGATGTCCATAAGCTCATTTTTGGACATTTTTAGTGTGAAGAAAATAGCACGCATACAGAACCAGGCACTGTAAGTAAGATGTATGGTGAAACACACTCCAAAGTCCTGTTGATGAATGAACCAAGAGACAGAATACATCTTTACATCTGGCTCCTCTGAGCATCCCATCCCAGGGGTCACTGGGCCAGCAGTCATAGCTGTTCCTCCTGGCCCCCCGGTGGCAGCTATACAGAACAACAATTACCTGGATGATAAACACGTGCCACATGCTTGGGACTCTGGGGATCACGTTTTAGTTCTCAACACTAATTTGGATCTTCAGCAGATCAGTCCAAAGTGTAGGGAGCCTCAACTAAAGCCAACTTTGGGATCTGGGGGAAATGTAATTTAAGAAAAAGCACCTATGGTTTAAGACAGCAGATGTTGGTGTTGGATACCATCATGCTGATAACTGACTCACGGTGATCCCAGGCAGAACAGAATGACACGCTGCGCAGTCCTGTGCTACCCTATGATTGGGTACTGATCGGATCAGAAAGTAGATCGCCAGACATTTCTTCCTTGTCTGTCTTAGTCGGAAAGTTCCATTTACACCTGCTCAGTTATTATTGTTGCTGTTAAGTGCTGTGGAGTCAGTTCTGAGTCATAGTGACCCTGTATGGGGTATCAGAAAGCCTCAGCTTTCTCCTGTGGAGCGGCTGCTGGGCTCGAAACATAGGCTTTGTGGTTCACAGTCCACTTCAGCTGTCACAGCAGTATGAAATTGTCCACTGGCAGACAGGTGGGGACAATGTGCATGACCTTGGAATCACACCTGTGTCTTCTGCGTGGGAAATGAGAATTGAGACCCAGTACCTGCCTCCTTCTCTAGGGAGACCCCCACATCAAAAGGGAATGCAACAGACAGTCCTCCTGCTGGAGCGGATCTCTGGAAGAAGATGGGCTGGGGCAGTGGGTCCTGGGGAGGGCCCTGTGTACAGTGATATCCGGTTGTAGAGCTTGGTGGACAGCACAGGTGGGGGCAGCTATGTGCCGTGGAGTCGGTTCCGACTCACCACGACTCTGTCTGTATAGGGTTTCTGAAGCTGTAAACCTTTACGGGAGCAGAAAGTCTCATTTTTCTCCCGTGGAACAGCTGGTAGTTTCCAACTGCTGACCTTGTGGTTAGCAGCCCAACTTGTAACCACTACGCTACCAGAGCTCCTTGATGATACAGGTATGCATGTTCTTCATGTATGCTGTTTTTCACAGTAAAAATGTAGACAATAAAAGTTGACAGCGAGTCCCTTGATATATAAAACCCAAACCCAACACAAATGCCAATGAGGTGATTGGGAGTCATGGAACTGTTCCCTGGGGCATCCACGGCTGGACCTCTCTAAGAGAGCAGACAGTCTCAGTATCCTCCCATGGAGCAGCTGGTAGGCTTGAACCACTGACCATGTGGTTAACAGCCCGGTGCTTAACCCTAACCCTCAGTGCCACTAAGGCTTCTCAAGTTACATACGGAAGGAGAAGCAAGGTTGAGGAGGAGGTGGCAGGAGGAGGAGGTGGCAGGGGGATGAGAAGTCAGCCCCAGGAGGACAGGTGAAGAGGCAGGAGGAGGCTGCAGACCTGGAAACGTGGGGTCTCATTCCCATCTTACATGAAGAGACGCACCCATCAGAGGAGGAGGGAGACCGCCTGTGGCGTCATCCAGCTCTGCCTGCAGGTCTGTGCCCTCACACTGTACAGTGCGGGGTACAGGGGAGGGGAGTACCTGGAAGATGGGTGATGTGGATGGACCCCCCCCCCACACACACCTGGAATGAAACTGCCAAAGCAGCCTTAAGCAAAGGGCTTCAAACTGGTTCTGCCCACATTAGTCACGGTCACAAAGTGCCCCAAGAATGGGCAAGATCATGGGCTGAGTCCTGCTAGAAACATAACCTCCTTCATAGAAAACAAGGGCAACATGCACACTGTGTAGCAACCAAATCTCTTGATGGACAGGGCCCCGCTCAAAGATGGCAGCCGAGCATACTACCCTGAGTGTATGGTGCTCCCCACAGTCCTGGCAACAATCCAGCAACACGACACGTCTCCCACACCAGGACTCTGAGAAGGCTCTCTATGCTATGCCTCTTCCGAATCTCCCATTATGAGGCTTTCACGGTCATCTTTCCCATCCCCGGATAAATTCACGTTTTCCAAATCTACGTCTGTGATGCTGAAGGTTTTGTGTCATCTTGACTGGACCTGAATTCTCGGTGGTTTAGCAGTTAAGAGGTGGTAAGGATCTCCACAAGGAGATTAATGCTGCAATTATCCCCCCATCCCCCCGTGACCTGATGTGATCAGGTGTAATTATCCTTTGCTTTGTAAAGCCTTACTTCTATGATTTTCAAAATCACCAGCTGCTCCTTGGAAACCCTGCACAGGGTCGCTGTGAGTAGGAACCAACCTCGACAGCATTTAACAACAATGACAACAGTGATATTAAGAGATGAGGCTTTCTGCTCCCGTACAAATTCACAGCCTTGGAAACCCTGTACAGGGTCACTGTGAGTAGAGCTGAGTTGAGAGCTCTTAACAACAACATGATGATGCTATTAAAAACAGATGCAATCTACAGGATTAGGTGCTATCCTGAACCAGTACCTACTGAGATGTCAAAGAGATTATTAGACAGGCAAGCCGAGCTCAGAGGCACCTACTGCCAAGAAGGAAGAGCCAGGAGTCCCTGCATGTGAAGCTCCTAGATCCTGGGGGGAAGACAGATGCAAAGACACATGGAGAAGTTCAAGAAAAGAGGGGCCCACAGATGCTAAAAGGAGACAGGCACCTTCCCCCAGAGCTGGTGCTCGGAATTCAGACTTGCGGTCTCTTTAAATTGTGAGAGAATAATTTTGATTTGAGAAAGCCCTCCACCTGGGGTATTTCTATTAAAACAGCACTACAGAACCAACTCCACGGCAGCGGTTACGAATCGGGCTGCGAGACTTAAGGTCAGCGGTTCGAAACTACCAGCCGCTCCGCGGGAGAAAGATGAGGCTTTCTACTCCCGTAAGGATTTACACCCTGGGAAACCCTGTACAGGGTCGCTATGGGTCGGAACCGACTTGACAGCACTTAACAACAACAACAACAACAACAGAACCGACTCCATGGCACTTAGCAACAACAACAACAACAACAACAACACAGGACTTCGTAATTAAGACAAGGTCTGTTTGCTTTCACTGAACCAGGGAGCAGTGATTTGAAGCCCTGGAAAGGGAACCCCTCTTTCAAAATTGCATGCATCTTACAGGGACAGCTCACGGCCCGCCACCACCAGCTGGAGCTTAGCTGTGACTTACCAAAAGCGTGGCACTGTTTCCACGATACTTTGCGTTTTGGACGTCACTTACAGTAAGTGCCCTTTGCAACACCATGCCTCTTTACACTGAGACCCCAAGGTGTTTCTCGCACATTTCTATAAAGATCTCAGTCCTGGGAGGTATAAATCACTATCATACTGGTGTGGCGCTATGGGGTCAGTACCAGCCTGCAAACTACAAGGTCAGCAGTTCAAGCCCACCAGTGGCTCCTCAGAAACCTTGTAAGGGTCCTTGTGAGTCGGAATTGACTCAATGGCACTTAACAACAACAACGTGCTTCCAAAATACTGATGTGGACGAGTTATACTCAAAACATGAACTCAGAAACAGAGAGTATCCCTTCCTGGCACTTGCTACTGTGAACTGAGTCGTGAGAAAGAGGCTGAATGTTCTGAAAGATGAACGTCTGTGAAGCAGGTAAGGAACGTAGACAACCTGTAAGTTCACTGCAACACCAGAAAGCATAAATGCAGACAAGCTCCCTCTTTGTTAACCTGGAAAACAACACGCTGCTAGTTTACAGGGAGACACCAATCATATGGAGCCCAAGTGACCTATTCACATACAGACTCCAAATTTCTCTCACTGAGAGACGACAGAGATGGAACAGAGATTCTGTCTACTGCCACGGACCCAGATCTAGCTACGAGGGACCCACACCGAGCTCCTGTCGTCAAAGGTAAAAGCCTCAAGTCCCAAGATTTGGACTATGGCCAGAAAATGCACGGTCTCATTATTCATTCTGATTCTCAGGTTCGAACGAACCCTCTGAGGCCTCCCTTGTGTGCCTGACCACTTTGCAACAAACTAAAGTTTATGCATGTCAAATCTGAGGGTCTATTCATTTTTAGGGTGAAATTCTACACGACAACACAAACTTAGACTCAGCATGAATTCCCTTTTAACCAATATCAATCTCTTCCAAAGTGCATCACATGAAACCACTAAACTTAGCCACAGCTGCTCTTTAGCAAGAGTGCTGAATACGCACTCAGACTTTCAGTTCTAAACCTGCCCTTTCCTAATCTCTGCCTTCCAAATCTCGGCACTTTTTGGTGGTCTTTCTGTCAGAAGGGTCTGCTGGGGAATGTGCGCTTCCTCATCCCTCAAACACTGAGCCCAGGGCAGGGACTGAGTTTTTCATAAATGCTGCTGAAAAGAAGTGCATTTAAGAAGTCTGTACTGGGAACACAACCAAGTAGAGAAGAGACTTGGAATGACATGCAGGGCAGCACACATGGACAGACACATGGAGCGGTGCACGTGCCAAGCACACACAGACACGCGGTGTGAGACATACACAGGGCACACACGGGCAGATATGGCATGGCAAGCACATGTGGAATGCCATGTGGATAAAACTCCGCTAACTCCAACACTGCGTAGTACAATAGGACCCTCCCCAGGTGCCCATGACCTAGAGAAGCTCGAGGAACCTAGCATTTGTTGGGAGCAGTTTACCAGATAATCTGAGCAAACCAAGTAAATTACCACAGGGGAGGACAGCAGCCCAGGGCCAAAGGAAAGCGGAATCCCAGCTGGGAGAGGAGGGCTCGTCCAGGAAGAGAGGGGAGAAGCTAGAGAAGCTGAGAAAACTGCTCAGGGGAAGCATTCACCGCCATCACTACAAACCAGGGCTTCACCAAGTTGCCAAGAATCTGTCAAAACAACAAAAGTCTCTGCTTTCTAGTCTCAGCTTCCCAATTGAGCAAAATGGAAATTCTGATTCTAATTTAGCCTGGATTTTGTTGATGATATAGTGATACCAAATTCATATCTTATGATTAAAGCAACGCTATAAAAAGGAACCTTAAGGGAACCATAAGGGAATTGAAAAATTCTAAAGGTTCCAACACTGCTAGACAACCAGAGTTCACACTGTGCACTGAGCACAAGTCTGCACACTCACGAGTACACACACACACTGCTAGACAACCAGAGTTCACACGGACCAGATACTCAGCACAAGTCTGCTCATCACAAGCACACACACACTCACACCTGCACATGCACTCATGCACACTCATACATGCAAATGCACATACACTTACACCAGCACTCACTCACTCACACCTGCATACATTTACACACTCATACACCCACTCACAAATACACTCACACACCCACATTCACTCATACACCCATACTCAGCCTCATGTACCCATACACACACAAGCGCACTCATACATTCACACCCACACCTCACACATTCACACACTCACTCACACACCCACACACTCACTCCTCACAATCATTGAGGAAATCCTTCCTGAGTAGCCCGATGACACAGACACTGTGCCGGGACAGATGGCCGGACGCCTGCGGATGGAAAACTGCTGTGGCCCTTTGAAGATGCTCAGAGACGTGCTCCCAGCTGACTGGGACACAGCACGAGGAAAGGCGTGAAGACCTGGCGTGAGAGTGCCACCAAGGCACTAAACACTGCCACACGGTGTGGCCACCAAATGCCCAGATATCATCTTACCCCCTCCCCACACTGTCTCCCACACACACGTGGGTCTCAGCCAGAACCAGGTCCAAGAGAGACGCCAGCTCTTTGCCACCTGCCTCTCTCATCTGTGTCCACACCAACACACACACACACACACACACACACACACACGCACACCAGATAATTCCAGGGAAGTTGTACTGGGAACCTGCTGACTCACAGGGCCGAAAGGCACTGCCAGCCACACATGGTGCAGAAATGGTTGGAGGCATGGTGATGTTCCAATAAAACATTTACAGGAAGGGGTGGGGGTGGGTGTGGGGGGCATCTACTCCATGGACCAGACAGACGTAGACTGCTGAACCCATTGAGCCAAAACTCTGAATCATTTTATTTCTGACTAAACTGGTTCAGGGACCCTTTATGATTATTATTAGCACACAGAAAGACTGTGTTGTCAACGTTTTGGTTTCATGATAGGAATTATAGGTTTGAAGACCCTGAAAATACTTATAGACCTCGACTACTTGTTTACTAATAAATAGTATGTATCTTCAGTTAAAAGAGTAGCTTTAGGAATGTAAATGTAGCAACAAGATTACTGTGACTTTTATGTAAGTTTTGATTATGTTTTGGCCTTCATTTGACCTCAGTGAGGACATATAAGGAGAGAGCTTCAAAAAGTTCCAGCAAAACTTCCATTGTCTTTAGATTCCATTTTCCACGAACTTTCTGAAGCCCCTTCCAGTTCACAGCATGTCCACTGACAGATATAGCACAAACCCCATAGCTCTTTCTGGAGTTCATTCTAACTTGGTGACTCTCTGGGACAGAGTAACCTGCTTCACAGGGTTTCCAAGGTCATCAGTCCTCATGGAAACAGAATGCCACATTGCTCTCTCAGAGTGCTTGAGGGGTTCAAACCACTAGCCCTTCAGTCAGCAGGGCAGCACTTAACCCACTACACCACCAGGGCTCCAGCTAGACACAGTTCAGTTATACTTCATGAAGGGAGCAGGGAGCGTTGCAGGATAAACTCTGGACTGTGAACCATGTTGGCAGTTCGAGCCCACCATTCACTCCATGGCACAAAGTTATGAGGCTTTTTGCTCCTGAGAAGATTAACAGCTTTGGGAACCCTATAGGTAGGGTCAATATGAGTCGGGACCAACTCTATGGTGCTAAACAACAAGGAGAGCAGGGATTAGATGCATGAAGCTTGGGGCAGAACACTACATTCCAGAGCCTACAACTAGGGGCAGGTGAGTGGCGGACAGGACAGGTGAGTGGGGACAGGACAGGTGAGCGGGGATAAGGGATAGGTGAGTGGGGATAAGGGACAGGTGAGTGGGGACAGGACAGGTGAACGGGGACAGGACAGGTGAGCGGGGATAAGGGACAGGTGAGTGGGGACAGGACAGGTGAGTGAGGACAGGGACAGGTGAGTGGGGACAGGACAGGTGAGCGGGGATAAGGGACAGGTGAGTGGGGACAGGACAGGTGAGCGGGGATAAGGGACAGGTGAGTGGGGACAGGACAAGTGAGTGGGGATAAGGGACAGGTGAGTGGGGACAGGGACAGGTGAGTGGGGATAAGGGACAGGTGAGTGGGGACATGACAGGTGAGTGGGGATAAGGGACAGGTGAGTGGGGACAGGACAGGAGAGTGGGGATAAGGGACAGGTGAGTGGGGATAAGGGACAGGTGAGTGGGGA